TCAGGTCAGACATCTTGCCACTAGGATCTGGGACTCTGTCTGCCCTTCTCACATAGGATTGCCTTAAACATTGATCTACAAGAAGATTCCTCCAAGTTCTTTCTTCCTCACTCACTGATTTACACACCCTTCTGCAGAGACAACTGCCTTTAGAGTGGTTTGAAGAGTAGGTCTTCTCCCTGCTCACAGGCTATTCTAGAGTACATTATCTAGCAAACAGAGCCTGTTTGGTCCATCTTGGTCTTGGTAAGGTCATTTTATAGGCAATTTCCTTCTCCTGACTTTATCCTTTATCCTATTATTTTAAATAGGGAACCTCTTCCAGCAGACTATCAAATGGACCAGTACTCACACATTATCTTCATGAAAGAAAAGTTGTGGTTATCCTCTCTAGTGACAGGCAAGTGGATCTGGAGACAGAGGATCTGCAACATGGATTCATGGCCTAGTGTTTTAGAAAGGAGTATTTCTTTAAGCACTTAATCTGTGCTTACTCTTTATTAATGGCCAGTTCTAACCAGCTTTATGCCTATTTTGACATTTTGAGGAATATAACTGTCTTCCAGCAGTTCTCTATGGACCTGGGAAGGTGCTTGGGTTCCACTCAGGAAAAATAGCAGTTTGAAAGACAAGGGCAGCATGGTGTTAATTTGCAGGTGATGCTGTTGGTGGAGGTGGTTGTTGTTGAAGGACAAAACACTGTTAGAAGGATTAACATATTTTCTGATTAATCATTTGATTTCTGAACAAACAGAGAGAAAGAAATCAAATGGTTCTGGAGGGATTTCGAGCAGACTACGTATGAAAAATTCAGCATCCTTGGCCTCCTTTATGTTAACTTGAACAGCTGGGGGCTGTCAGAGATAATGTGTGCTGTCTCCAGATGGGATACCACGTGTCACTGGCTGATTCTTCATTAAGAGAATTAATTGCCTTTTGTGACTGTAACCTGCTGCAATAAGGCAGCAGTAGGTTAATATTGTAGTTCAATAAAAATAGCGTTTACATACACTGAAAATCCACCAAGAAGCCAACATAATACTCTTTCCCATTGTGGAATTTAATCCTCCCTATATAAATTTAAGATTTAAATAATACAAACCTAAAAATTGGTGTTTGTTGTCTTAGGTAGTGAAATACAACATATGGTAAACAGGGCTGTACAGATACAAACCCATTTAAAACCCTCTTCAGCTGCAAGATTCAATTGTCATGTTTTGTTAAGTTCGTTTTGCAAAGCAAAGGCAGAGCTTATGCACACATTCAGAGCAACAGAGGATTTCCTACTATGCCCCAGGAAAACTGAAAAACCAAACTATTCTCTAACGGAGTCATGTTCTGCTGTAATGAAAATGTGGTCTTTTTAGAAAAGAGCTTTAAAGCTAATTAAAGAGTATCTTAGGCAACCTTAGCTTGTTTTTAAGAGTAATGTTATACAACTGTATTTGCAGTTTTAGCTGTCAGCTACTGTGTTTATCCACAACAACAGCAAATCATGACATAATCTATTTAAGTGATCTGGATAGTTTTGATGGAAAAGCTGTAACAAAACGTTGACAACACAGCTGCCAGATCTCAATTTAAATTCTCCATCAGCACTACTAGAAGAGAGATGGTTTAAAATACTTGCTTTATAGAAGAACTTACAGAGCTATTGTAAAGCAATTTCCAACCAAAATTCATTTCTGAGGAAGAAGGAAAACCAAAATTTTGTATTTTTGTGTTAACGTAATAAAGACTTGTAACAAATAATTTGCTTTGCCTTATAAATTATTTCCATCTTAATTAGTACAGATCTGTGCTGTTCTAGGGAAAAAAAAATCTAAATATTAATCAGTAGTGAGAACTGAAGATTATTTTTCCTTCTTTTTCTTTCTTTCTTTTTTTATTTTTTTTTTTCAAAGCTAAGAAATACAAGAAGTAAATGAATAGTTTAAATAGGGTAAAGGGACAATTTCACTTCTAGACTGATTTTGACTGTTGCTATCCCCCAAGATAGATTAGCCAAATTCCCTGAGATCAAGAATAGGACTGTTTAGTGGCATCTAGATGAATCCAGCATTGGACTTTATGGATGCTCATGGGTAGATCACAAGCAGATCAGCTGGTGTACGCAGTAAGCCTTAGCATGACTTTATGATCTGTCACTTTAACTGAAGTCTCTGGGTGCTTAACAGATATCATCACCTTCTATTGTTGTCGTATTATACTGTATTATCAATAACAGTATAAAGACATGATGATGGGTATCACTTTCCAGTGTCGCTGTGTGCAATAAATGCCTCTTTCTCTAACCTAATAGGAATTTCTCTGTATCTGCAACAGTCAGAGATTTTCCATATTACTATGTAAGCTTGTGCCATAGAAATCAGCTGCTTACCCTCCTCTGTATTGATCCTTGCTTTTGCTAACTCCATTTTTTTACAGATTTTTTTTTTTTTCCCAAAAAAGTCAGCATGGAAATTAAAACTTGAAACATGAAAAATTCACATTTCTTTTTCCCCACTGATCTCTCTGTAATGTATTCCTGAAGTAAGCAACTATATGAGACAAGGAAGAGGAAATCAATATTTGAAATACCAAGAGTAAAAAGATAATTGTACAGAAGTATATTAATAGACTACTGTAAGCGTGGGTCATTTTCTCAATGGAAAGGCAAACTTATTGAAAAACTGATGCCAAGAAATCCAAAGAGATGATGAGCCATCACCCACTGAAAGGCCAGCTGTGGGCAAGAATTTATCCTGTTATGTGCATGAAAAAAGTAATGCCTTAGCCAGGAACCTCTTGGGGATGACTTAGTTGTCTGAACCCGTTGAACATCACAGTAAAATACTTGAAAATCTGACTGAACGATCTTCTTGCCACTAGCAATCCTCATTAAGTGTTTTTAGGAGATGGACAAGACAACATAAGATCAAAGACAAATACAGTGCCCATCAATAGGCTCAGAAGGCAAGCAGTTGTCCCAAAGAAAATACTCTTCTCCATGTCACAGGTGGACACAGCCTTAGGAAATGGCCAGTGGAGTAAGGCTATTAGTATTGTTTGACAGAGAATGAAGTTTTCTTCACATGATGCTTTCAAGAAGAGATTGGATAAAGATAAAACCCTTGTTTGGAGGACCGCAAATGTAACTGGCTGTATTTTAAGCAAGTGCATGGACTAGACTGAGCTCCTTCCCAGATTTGTCTGTCTTATGCTCCAAAAAATTAACCAAACGTAGAAGTCATTGGAACTTTAAAGCCTCAATTATTTTGTTTTTCTAATGGAATGATACTATAGCTGGTGTTGCAAATGCAGGCAGCCTTGGCTGCTTTCACCATGCAGAGACATCGCATGTAAAATTTATCTGGATAAGGACTAAAATGATTTTGAATTTACTTTATGGCTTCTGATGCACATACCAACATTCTTTCAAAATTTTGGAGAAAATCCACAAATAGACAATTTCATTATTTACAGAACTGAGTTTAAAAATTCATAAAGTGGCACTGTCTCTTTTGGATTTTACTTGTTAGAGTTAATGGGCCTCTTGACATAAAAGCATTCTTGGCAGGTGCTCTAGCAGTCAATCAAGTAAAGCATTGATGTAAAGCAGCTGAGCTTCCTTTCACCACCACCTGCTGCAACAGCACAACATTATACCAACCCAAGAGCACACAGTTCAGAGTACAAATGTATGTGCTATTTTATTCCTCTATATTTTAAAGCCCCATAGAAAAGCTGAGTCTCCAATTAGTTCCTCTGACGTTATACTCATACTCCCCCCAGGTCCCTGTATTAAGCTTGAAGTAGTAAAGATATCTGAAAATGGTTCAGTCTTGGAGATGAAACTGGCACAAAACAGAAAGACAATAAAAAATCTCAGAACAGAAAAAATTCAGCATGTAAGAATTTCCATTTTTATTATACTTCTGTTGTCAGGGTCAAAGGTTTTTCGATGCCACCCAGCGTATGAGTTCACTGAATTTTCACTCAAAATGACAGTATTTGTGAAATACAGGAGAAAATATAACAAAAGGCATAAAATTTATTTGTGATGAACTGTTGAATGGTAAATTTTAGACTGAGGAGGAAACTACAGATGAAATTGTAGCAGCTAAGTCATGAAAATGTCTGAGAATGATAATATGTCTCCGAAAGAGTGGTGAGGCAGTGGAATGGGCTGCCAGGGAGGTGGTGGAGTCACCAACCCTGGAGGTGTTCAAGGAATATTTGGACATTGTGTTGAAGGACATGGTTTAGTGAGAACTACTGATGATGGGTGGATGGTTGGACTGGATGATCTTCTTGGTCTTTTCCAACCTTGCTGATTCTATGATTCTATGAAGTGTCACAAGTTCTTTTCAGCAATGGTGTTAGAAGGTGCACTGTTGAATATTAAAAAAGAAAAAAGAAAAAAGAAAAAAAATTAAAAAGAAAAACAACAACAACAAAAAAAAGATGTATTTGCTAGCTAGGCAAGAAAAGCAAGGGTATAGTAGTCAGTGTGTCTCATGGGGTTTGTATCATGCAAAGGATCAGCAGATGCTGAGAGAGCCGTGCTGCACCTGCTCCCCAGCGCGTTTCTCCGGCATTGCCCAGCACCGGCCGTGCCTCCGACCCGTCTTCTCTATCTCGGCATCCACAGGAGAGCACGAGCTGCACGGCAGTTCCACCCAAACTCCAGCCCTGAGGAAGGAACAAGACGCTACAGCGCAGGGGCGTTCCCCACTCACCCTGACCCGAGAACAGCGGTGCTCCACGCGGGCGCTGCCCGCGGCCGCCCCCCACTCTGTGTGGGCGGGACAGCCCAGCCCAGCCCACGCGGGGTCGGGCCGCCTCTTTGAGCCGGAGCAGCGTGTCGTGCCGCATCGTGCCGTGTCGAACCGGGAACGACCGGAGCTGGAACTGGTCCCGGTGCCGGTTCCGCGGCCGCGCCCGCCGCTGCTGGGGGAGGCGGCGCCCGCCCCGCGCCCCCGCGCCTCGCCCGCCCCCGGCAGCAGCGGCGGCAGCAGCCTCAGCACCTCCGGCAGCAGCTCCAGCGGCAGCAGCAGCAGCATGGACCTCTCCTTCATGGCCGCGCAGGTAGGCGCAGCCCCGCTCCTGCTCCCTTTGCCAGGGGTGCCGGCGTAGCGGGAGCGCAGGGAGGCGAGGGATGAGTCGCTGCGCCGCGTCGGGAAGAGGGAAAGTGGCAGAGAGGGAAAAAAATAAAATAAAACGATGAAGAAAGGAGGGGGAAATCGGGGAGATGAGGCTCTGAAGTTGCCGGGTGCAGCAGGTGTCAGCGCCCAGCCGTGGGACCGCTCCTCGCCCGGCCCTGGAGCGCATCCCCCGGCCGCTCCGCTGCCGTCATGCTGGGGAGGGAGGCGAACGCAGCGTCGTTCCTGCCTCCTGCTGTGGGCTATAAATAGAAAGCGGAGATCTGATTTTTCAGTTCTTTTCCTCGCTTCCACGTTTGTGCACGCATCTGTGTTTGTGTGAGTTGTCCCTGCCACACGGATTCTGGACTGGTGTATGCAGAGATGCTCCCGTCTGTGTGGCCAAGTTGTTTCAAGTCATGGCTAAGTTTGGGCTTCAGCTCAAAGGTTGTTTGTGAATATTGGTGGTCAATGTACAGACAAGCTCCTCAGGTCTACAGAGCACCCAAAGACAAAAAGCATCTCGTGAATCCAAATGAATTAGATTTTTAAACAGACAAACAGTATAGACAGCATCATGCGTATTGAGCGTCCATTTCATGTTTTACCACAATGATTTCTTCTATCTAGAATAGAATAGTTCCATTGGAAGAGACCTTTAACTATCATCAAGTTTAACTGCCTGACCTCTTCAGGGCTAACCAAAAGTTAGGGTGTTTTATTGAGGGTATTGTCCAGAAGCCAGAGCATTGGCAGCCATGGGCCATCAGCTACTTCTCTAAGAAGCATGTGCCAGTGTTAGACCACTCTTATGGCAAATAAGAATTTTCTTAATGTCAGGTTAGAACCTCCCCTGGTGTAGTTTTGTGCTGTTCCCATTCTATTGTTGGTTATCAATGTGTGACTATAAGCACAAAATTTATGCATATAAGTGACTCTATGGATGGATGAAATTTTTTGTTTTCGAGGATTATTTGGATCCAAGTTTGAATTCTTGCCAAAAGATGTCCTCCACTGCTAAGAGGTGGTGCAGGGGCCCACCAGGCTTGTTGGTACTGCTGTTAGCTGAGCTCCCTGTATCTGACTTCTGGTCCTTAAGGCCCTGTGTCCCCATTCTGTAAGTGGAGGTGAAGTACTGCAGCAGATTGTTCCAGTGATGGGAATGCACTGTGCCAAAACTGGGACTGGTACCACCATTTGGAGCCTCTGACTTACTCTTGTTGTCATGTTTCACGCATCTTTAACCCCAATTCTGTATATTCCAAGAGCCACTGGGCTGTGCTTCATCCTCACAGAATAAATTCCCTGTATAAATACATCTGGCTCTTACTGAGACTGCTGCTGCAACAGTATCTATCAAATTGTGTCCATGTCTTCCTGATTCTGTGGAGCTGGTTGGTTGCTGTTTGATCAACAAGTGGCAAAGAATAATCCGTTCACAGTTATTATGGTGAACATGGGGGCTTTCTCAGACAAGGCAGCTGTGGGCTCTCTCAACAGGTGCCTGGGCTGAGGTCTAGAGGCATACTCCCAGGGGTTTTTTGTGTAGTGTCTTAGAATTATAAGAGAAGGTTTCTTGGACACTACTAAGGAAAATGTTTTTATGTTGCTGCATGCTGTAGATGCTGCTCTTACCCTTGTGCTGTTCCCCTCTGATAGGCCTTTTGCACCTCTTTCTGACCCAGGCACTGCTCCACATCTGTGATCACAGAGGCACTTAATCCCCAGTGTCGCTTCTAGAAGTGATGTACCACTCTTCTTCCACTTTTTTTTTTCTCTGCTGTATCTTTTCCTCCTTTTTTGGAGTGCTTTTTGTGGCTTTTCTGGTGACACGGTCCACTGAGATGACCCTTGGTGTGGAGGATGTATGAGAGCAGAGGAGAAGGCTGATCATTCCTAAAGACTCTCTGCTGTGTCCTGGTGGTGTTCAGCAGGGCTTGCATTTTACCTGGTGAATGTCAGGTTGATACTTCAGGACAAAATAGGCAGTGCCTAAACTGAGATCCTTAATGGCAAGAAAACACTGTTTGCCTCCCAAGCAATTTCAGGACGCTTCAGGCTATATTCCTGTAAGTTGCTTTTGTGTCTTGGCCACCCTGAAACTATTTCTTGTGCTAGCAGAATGATTAATGTAATGCCCTCTGAATGATATGTTAGATGCCATAGAAAGGATAATATTTTGCTGTTAAAAATTGTTGTGGAAGATTGGAGATTGTCAGAGCAGTAATGCTAACAAATGTGTGCACTGTAGGTACAGCACAAAGGTTGGGCTGCCCGGCTCAGGCACTCGTGTCTGAACAGCTCAGCTGTACAACATTTATTAGTGTGTAATGAAGAACAGCTTTCGACTCTGACAAATCCCTCGTTAAAATAAGCCCTTTCACATCTGTGTGCTCAGCAGCACTGGGCTGTGGAGGCTTCAGTATCCCCTGCTCTGCAGGTGCTCTAATTGATTTCCGGTGGGTCACTTGTGCTAATAGGGAAAGCCTATTAGTTAAGGTTTTTTTTTTTCATTTTGAATCCAGATTTTAATTAAAGTAATCCTGTGTGCCTCAAAATACCATCAAAGATGTTCAGCTGCTGCTGAGCTGTGTGACTCTGTGTGTGTGTGTGGCTTGTTTCAGTGATTTCAGAGTGCTCTTGTAGTCTAGGCAACCTGAGAAGTAGCCTCTTACCATAGGTAAGGCCTTCAGCTTCTAGCATCAAAGCTTGATTTGGGGGACTTGAGCACTATGTCCAGGCTAAGAGCATTCAGTGCTTTTCAGAGGTGGCTGTGCATTGCTTCTGCTGTTGAAATGTTCAGCAGCAAAGCAGGGGTCTGGCTTTTGCTATCAGATGCTTGGTGACAACTTGTTCCCCTCCCTCATCTTATGCCTAAGAACAGGCTAAAGCATTTCTGCTGGGGAAGCTAATAGTAAAAATTGCATCAGAGTTAATAACATTGTGAGCAGGGCTGGAACATCTATTCAACATGAAAAATAGAGGCACACAAGGGGAAGCTACAGAGGAAAAAATGATGTCATGGTCCTCAGTACAATACAAATCGATATTAGCTGAACAGCACCTGCAGTCATAATAGCAGTTATGTTTTTCAGGATTTGTGTTTGCAATTTACCTTTCCCTTAAATGATTTCTGTGTTTTTTGTTTCGTACTGAGAATGCAAAATAGATTTCAACTTGCAATATCTTTATAGTTGGGTATACGTACATGTAGTACAAATACTGCTCTAGTTATCAGATAAATGATCTTTTCTTTTACATACAGAACAGAGAAAAGTAAGAGCTTGGAGAACATGCTCAATTCTGTAGAATTGTTTTTGTCTTACATACAGTTTGTGTATTTACCTATGTGTTCAGGAGCTCTTTTAAAACCGGGGATCTGAAATACGGTAAATAGAACTGTGTGTTTAATTTCAGTGAAGAAAAGTGAGATTTTTTTAATCTTGAATTTCTATTATGGTGTTGAAGATTTTTTTTTTTACTGTAGACAATTTTAGAAAGCATGACTCTCATCTATTTAAGGAGTTAGAGAAACGTGAACAAACTTGGTACAGAAAGCAAGACCATGTACTAAAGAGAACTTAGACCTCGTTGGTTTTGTGTTCTGTATCACTCCTGCTATTTCAGGTCTGATCAATGATCGCTCCAGTCACTGTGTCTCTTTCATTCTCATTCATTGTTTTGGGAGTAGTTCAGGTCTGCTGTTTTCCCCAAAACAGGGCAGTGTGTCTTGGTGTACCTTGAAGAAGCTCTGCAGCTGCCTATGCCCTTATCAGTATGAGAAGTCTGAGGCTGTCATGCCTCTATATTGAAAGTATGTTGTCATGAGCTCTGTAACTTCTGGAAAGCACTGGAATACTCATAGTAAACTGAGTTTGTTTAAGATGAGTTTGATTTACTATTCATATTTTCCCAAAGATACAGACTGCTCATGTCTATGCTGCAAAATTGGTGTATGCATGTGGAGGGTCTGCTTGGTAATTTGGGAAATCTAATCACCTGGGTGAACAGAGCTGCTGCATCTCTAGACATCTGAGACATAGCTGCTGCTCCCCTTAATTCCTTTCTAATGAGATTTCAGGATGCAAGAAGAGGCACAATTAGGACTTGTTGTAGTCTGCTGAACAGAATAGAGGAACCAGAGCCCAGAATAATTCCACATCTGTTTTCCAGCTTCTCTCTTAATGTATTTTCTGTCTCAAGGGTCAAGGCATTCAAAGCCTTTATTAGCTGTGTGCTCTCAGCAAAGTATTCTGAAGATATTAAACCCAAAAGGGCTTAGATTTGTGGGTTTGGTAGGTTATTTTCACTGCTTTAAAACAGATCCCAGGCTAGCTGCTCAACAAAAGCCTGTGTGTGTGTGCCTGTGTACACATCTATGTTCTGTGAAAGCTAACTGCAGAGACTATCATACCTTTGGGTTGTGTTTGTGCATTGAGAATCTGTGCTGATTTGGAAGCTTTAACACCACTGATGTAAGCTTAGGCAGACACACTGGTTTTATTTTACTTTTTTCTTTAAAAATTGTGCTTGCCAAAAAAAAAAAAAAACCCACAAAACTCTAAGGTAAATCATGCGGCAAATTGTGATTTAATCTTTCCTTGTCAAAAGCAGGGCTAAGATTATAATCAAGTCTGTGAGACAAAAACTCTTTGACCTGTAGCATCAGACACTAATTATGCTAGCTAGGAATATGTGGGCATTCTTTTACAATTCAGTGGTTGCTTATGTACTGAATAATAGGGCACTAACTTACTCTACCAGCTCTGCTTCCTTAAGGTTAAGGTGAATTTCTTTGTCACTCTAATTCCTCCAGATTGTCTTGCCTTATTGTAAATAGAAATCAGACATTAGAAAGCTGAAAGAGCAAATCAGATTTTAACTGAAGGTGTCTCAGGTGCTTGAAGTTAAACTTCAGTGCCTTGCTGTGTTATGGCACTCACCCAG